CAGGAAACCTGGGTGTATTAGAACTGGAACTTGAACTGGAATTAGAACCAGAATTACCCATCTTGTCTTTCGGATCAGATTGCTTCCTTTTAAGCCTCCAACAATCTTCAATATAGTGGTTTGTCTTCTTGCAATAACGACAGTACTTCCTCCTTGGTCCCGGATCATCCGAATCCTTAGGATGCTGATTCTTGACAACTAGAGCCACATATTGTGTCTTCCTGCCACTAGAATGACTATCACCTTTCAATTTCTGCTCATATTGCAAAAGATCATCACTGCCTCAGAAACAGTGGGAAAGGGAATCTGCATCAGTAGTTGAGTCTTTACGACATCATAGTCAGAATGAAGTCCTCTTAAAAATCTGATAAGGTAGTCTGTTTCTTGCTTCTAAATGAAAGCAACTACAGCAGGACAAGGTAATGGGTTTCCAGGAGCACAATTACAAGGAACGACAGGATTATACTCCAAATATTCTTCGCAAATACCCTTGACATCAATAAAGTATTGATTAATTGACTTAGAAGCCGGCTTACAAGCTGTAATTTCATCCTCCAAATTGATGATTCTAAGTGTGTTTGGTTGACCAAAACGTCTCTTTAGCTCTTCCCATAATGCCTTAGAATTAGTATGGGTTACCATCGCCCTGCGCAAATTCTTGTTCATGGACTTCCGGATCCAGCATAGAACTAGGGTATTAAAAGCAACTAGGGTATTAAAAGCATCCCATAGAGGAAAGGGAGTAGAGTCGCGTGGGGGAGTGGGTGTGCTACCATAAATAAAACCTAATTTGTGCTTGGTTTTCAGAATTACTAGAATCGATCTACTCCACATCATGTAATTTGTACAATCAAACAACTCATAAACGTAACTAGAGACTGTCACACATTCTCATTTGGATTGAGGTAGAAGGGATTACCAAAGGCAATTGTTTCTGTTTGACGATTCTCCTGATTGAAGCTTCGAAATTGCATATCCGCCGTTGTAGCTCTGGATCCACTGACACTACCGCCTGGAATAACAGGAGGTGTGTACTGAGCCATGACGGCGTTCGTAAAGGCTGGGAAATCCTAGACCTTTTGCTATGATACCATATCAATTTTGTTGAATTGGAGAAGATGAGACTCAATCTCTCACTGAGTTCATTAGCTGTTATATATCGTTCAAAAATAATTACAGAAATGAACCACGCGTCTTGGTCCTATTAGCCATTAGCTACTGAAACACTGTTCAAGTAACGGCTAATTGCGAGAAAGGAAAACGACTAGGTTTAAGAAAACAACAGCAGCTTAAATATAATGACACTGCCTTGGATCTTCTCTTTAGTGCCTTCTCCATTATGCAATCCTCTTATCTCTCGGATTCAAACCTTCAAAGCCTCTGCATCTGTTTCTTCAGCTTCTTACTCCTGATAGAAGGAGGACTCGTTGAGGATCCAACTTATCTGATCATGGTAGAGGAAAAGATGTGGAAGGATCGGTTAGTGGTGAAGGAGGAGCGAGGATCGGAGGATCTCAGGAGCAACATCTTGGTGAAGGAGGGAACAACGGTCGGAAACGCAAAACACATGGGAGTGAGACGAAGGAAGAAATTGCCTTAGCTAGTAAGTTTTTTTTTTTTTATTATCATTTGTTTTTATGCTTAATGAAAATATTATTATGGTGCTAATATCATCCTATCCTACTCCTTCCCTTAACACTATGTTCATCAAAGAGGGGGCAAAATTTTGGGAGGCGATAGAAAATTTAAAGATAGTGAAAATTTGACAGTCGTGAAATGAGAAGAAGAAAATGATCTTCATATTTGAAGAAAAAATGACACACAATAGGAAGAAAAGAAAATTTTACCTAGAATTGAGGGCAATTGCAATAATAGTTTCCCCTCCCCAAATAATCACTTCCATAATTATTAAAATTAGATTGGATCGATAGGTTAGACCACTGAATATTACGGCCAACTACCCATTTAAATTGGTCAAATCCATGTTAACAAGTACTAATATGTAATAAGCCAACTGGATAAACATCGGGTCAACCAATTAACCTGATGATCAAGAAATTAATTTTCACTTATGGTGAATTTGTTGCGAGTGAAATTACCATTCTATGACGTCCACCTCCTACCAGCACCGTAGTCGAGTCAAGTAATAATTAATCATAGATGCACAGGTTTTACCGTAAAAAAAAAAAAAAAAAAAAAAAATCATAGAGGGGAAAACTTCTTATCACAGTCCTCATCGTGATTTAACTTCATATATGGGGAACTTTGTATGGGATCTCAAGTCTCAACTGTGCCCTCGATGAGAAAGCATGTTCTACAGCTGTTCAAACTCTGTGGCACACTCCACCATGTAGGATCGTGGCACACTCCACCATGTACAACAATCATTTGTTCTGTTAAAATAAAACCACGCTATGTTTAAATTGATACATACAACTGAAAAACGATTCCGTGCAAAATCGAGATCCACAAAACTAAAAAAAAAACTTCGTGTCTTGATATTTCTGATGAAATCCTTAGCATCTCGGTAAGATTCGGCACATACAAAGTGATGGTCCAATTAGCCACATTTAAGATTAACTATGATTACAGTCATGTTAATTAATTAGTGTTATTTTGCTAAATAAAATGTTGTCCAATCAAGCACATGGCAGGGCGTAAAACCCGCTGTCTGCTTAGGACCCAAAACAATATAATAATTCTCAAGTAGTCAAGTTGTAACGTGTTGTAGATGTAAACTAAGATCAGGATAAGCACGTCCAGGTGTGGATTACTACCATTTGCATTTTTCTAATGAAAATTACAATTGGCATTTTCGATGCCATGACAAAGGTAGGACAATATATTCTGTTTAGAGAAATCTCTGCTCGATCTGCTTGTTAATTTGGTGGTACTAATATGTTAGTTAACTGGTTTAACGAGTCCTCATGCTCCGTAGCGGATGTATTATTAACATCCAACAACCATATACACGAATCTCTTCTTTTAGAAAACAAAAGGAAAAGATAGTGCGGGAAAGAAATCTAATCTACTAGCTGGTGATTGAGACATGAGGGTGACGCGTTGCATTAACAAGCTCCATCTAGAGTTTTTTTACTTGCAACCTGACTAGTGAATGAGACTAGAGAGTGAGTCATTGCATAAATAAGCTTCCTTTAGAGTTCTTTTGACTTTTGATTCTCACTCTCGATTCTGGCAGCATATATACGAGTTGCTTGATCATTGCTAGGTTTATTTGTACCATAATACCAGGACTAATAGGCAACAATGTGGACCCTACAAATATATCATTTGAGGAAGTCGATGCAGTTTAATCGATTGTTAGGGACAGTCGTGTCCAGTCTCATTCACCCACTAATTTAGGTTCAAGGATGTATGCTCCAAAGATAGTCCTCGTCTTACGTACACAATCACATCAAGAACAAATCAAGCAAATCAAGGGCGGAGCTAGGATTTGGCGTTCGGGGGCGGCAGATTTTTTTTATCTGTTATCGCGAAAAGGCGATAAAAATTAATCAAGACGATAAAAGAAAATTTATTTTTTAATATTATTATAATTGAATTTTTAGACTATTAGATTCACTCAAAATAAGATGTGTACTACAATTTATCTTGCGTAGAAAAAAGTGAAAATATCATATCTGTCAGCTTATTTTACATGAATCAAATAGGTTATTTGTTTTTAAAGTTAGAATTGATTTTACCCATTGTAACTGCAATATTAGAAAGTGTTTTTTTTTTATCTTGGAGAGGGAATTTTTCAATTCTATCACTGCAAAAATAAAATAAAATAAAATATAAATAAAACGAATAAATGTCGAGCCACATAAAACTAAAAAGTGGTAAAGAAAACTAAATTTGAAATTAATGGAGTCAAGAAACAATTTTGATATTAACGAAATTAAGAAACGATAACAGGAAAGTTGAATGGGTAATTATATAGATCTATTGAACTGGAAAAGACATACTAAAACTGAAAGTAAAATTAAATTAAGAAAAGTGCAGTATATATATCTATTGAACTGGAAAAGACATACTAAAAATGAAAGTAAAATTAAATTAAGAAAAGTGTAGTATATAGATCTATTGAACTGGAAAAGACATACTAAAACTGAAAGTAAAACTAAATTTGGAAAAGACATACTAAAACTGAAAGTAAAATTAAATTAAGCAAAGTGCAAGATAAATGTATCGAACACCAAACCTCATGACATGTAAGTTAAGTTAACAACCGCAGGACTAAATTCACTTTTTTTGTTCATCTATGCACACTAAGCGTTCTTATTCTCATTTTACTTTAGTTTATACGAAATTTCCAAAATCCCGATATAGTTTATACATAACTTCCACATTTCTTGGGGGGAGGGGGGGGGGGGGCGAGAGTAGTTGTAGCTCCACCCCTGAAGCAAATAAACCAAACAGAAAAGATATATGAATTCAAACTCATATATATATATATATACACCAAAATCAACACTACACGAAAATGACCTCTTGCAATCCCAAATAGTGTTGCATAAAACCATAAAAGAATTGCAGCATCATAGCGCAACATTTTTCCTAGGATTGCATATAAATATATAATGGGGTTCCAAGAGCAATATGCAACTGTTTTTTATTTTTTATACGTGACATGCAATGGATGTCTACTATATGTTACGAATTCATTAAAATGCAAGATAAATTCAAACCTTACATGGAAAGAAATAAAGAAATATGGAAATACTAAGGCCAGGTTGAACGTGACATGCACCCGACACACTGGGAGTGAGAGCTCACTGAACGTAGAGCTTACTGGCTCACAGCCCTCCCACATTATTATTATTATTATTATTATTATTATTATTATTATTATTATTATTATTATTATTATTATTATCATACTGGCTGGGACACAAGAAGGAAAAACAAGTACGTAGTACCGATTAACCGGTAATTAACATACATAAAAGAAATCCTTAGCCAATCAACTAGCTAAAGCTAGCTAGCTAAGGACTCTCTCAGGCGGTGGCTCCGGCAATCTGTGCGGCCTTGACAACATTAGGTCGACCACCGATCTGATCGTACAACTCCTCCAACTCCCTGTTCTGCTCCGCTATCCTCTCCCTCAGCTGCCCAATCAACTCTTCCGGACTCAGGCTCTCACCATTACTCCCCTTGAACTCCTCCAGCGACTCGGTAATCGCCTTGATCTCCTCGTCCTTGCGAGCCATCGTCTCGTCGTAAGACTCGTAAGGGAAGTACCTGAAGTACTCCATGCCAGCTGGCGGGCTTAACGCCACCACAAACGGGTTCTCCAGTTGGGAAACTCTGACGTTGCGGTTGGTAGCGTTGTGGTAGAAACCGACGAGGTTGTCGGTGGCGTACGGGAAGGAAGGGTAGAAGAGCGTGGACGTCTGGTCGTTGGGGTCGTCTCTCATCTCGCTTTCGCCGGCGATGACGAGATGCTCCCTTTGTGGGACGACCATCAGGTAGCGGTTGTTGTAAGGGCATCGGAGGTGGACGGCCGGTGCGTGGGAGGTTGACGGGATGACCTCCAGCTTGAGGAATGGGCTGACCGGGTCCAAGTCGCGGAAGAAGCCGAAGGCTAGGTAGTTGAAGGTGTCCCCGAACTCCTCGGTGCTCCACAGGAAGTGCATGTAGTTGGGTGTGTTTGGGGATTGGGATTGGAGCATCACATACTGTGGCAGTTCCGACGTCTTCTCCGTCATCGTGGCTAGCTTTGATTTTTTTTTTTTTTTTCTCTTTCTCTCCGTCGGGATCTAGATTGATCTAGCTAATGAAATAGTATATGAGGTTGATAGTTGAGATGCTTGATCGCCACGGTATATATGGAGCAGGGCGGATTAGCCTTGTTTTCGTTTATTTACATATTTGTTTGTTTGTTTGTTTATTGTCGTTATACTTTGGAAGTAGGTGGCGGAAGTTGACTGCGAAAAATGACGAGATACAATTAACAATCGCCACAGAATTGAATAACCAAAATTACATTTTTCATTAGAAATTTTCTCGAATTATGTGGGAGTGGGGTGAGGGGAACTACAGCAAGGTAAAGATTAAGTGCCCTCGACAAAACGGACTGTAAGCTAGCAAAAATCCCAGATATAATACTGGTGTTGTTACACTAATGTAGGTAAGGGAGTTGCTATTGATCGTCCTAATATTAGGTCCTAAATTCAATATATATTTACTGTTTTGTCCAATTTAAAATTTAAAACTAAATCAGCAAACAAACCCCACCCATACCAACTTCCTCCTGCCCCTTCTGATTTCCGTTGGAAACCGTAGCCTAACATTACCTTCCTCCCGTCGACCCACATCCACCGACCGTCACCAACAAAACAGTGCGTCGTCCGAACTGCCACCTTGCTAAGAACCTTTCCTCCGGTCTCTGGCTCACGACCCAACCCCTTTACTGACCGCGAAGAGAAGATACTCGCCGTCAGCTAGTGCCGTCGCTCCCCTTTTCGTAAGAGAAGACGACCGAAAAGGTAAGCCCAGCAAAGTAGCACACCCTCGTGTTCTGTTGTGCCAGCTTCATCGCTCTACAAGCCATTTGTTTCCCATTGTCTGAAACGCAAAAAATAATTAATTTTTTTAACCACTGGTCAAAACGCAGCGAATCATGCTTTAAACCTATGGACGAAAGGTAGCAAAGCCCGCTTTTGACCACTGGTCAAAACGCGAGGCCTTCTGTGTTGCCACTGTTTGAAACGCAACATTCTTTTAACCACTGGTCCAAACGCAAAAAAAGCATGCGGTAGTCCAATGGTCCAAACAAATCAAAGCAGGTGATTGACTGCTGGATAAATCATGTGCGTTTCTCTGTTTCGGTTCGCCGGTGGGATGGCCGTACAAGCTGGCGAGAGACAATGGCAGGTATTAGCTGCTTAGGAAGTGTTTGTTTGGTTACAATTTCAAATTTTAATTTGGACAAACATTTACATTATCTTATAATATTTGGACAACAAATAGTATTATAGGACGACATTTAGCATTTCAGTAAAAAATTTATCATTACTACTTAGGAATGCTATAAACTGAAGAGCAGCCAGAGCAAAGAAGGTGAAGGCTATTTTGGTGGGGATCCATCTCTGTTGCTAACGGAGGAAAAACTTGTGCTTCTGTATCAGGGAAAAGCTCTGCTTTTGAATCAGAGAAGACGAAGAAGGAGTCGACCGTTGTTCAACACGACAACGTTTCCACAGAGAACTCGGCTGTTGTCCACAACGACGCCGTGCCCACTAAGACGCGCAGGAGCTACAGTGATGTCGTATTGGGAAAGTTTCCTTTTAGTCCTCCAAGTCTGTAATTCTGTTTGTTTCCGTTTTAAGCAATGTACTTTCTTCAGCCACAAGGCTTGTCTTCTTCCTCCTTCTGTCTGTACTGAACACTCACAACTATATAAGCTGCCATCTGAATGAGAACAAACTAAGTTCTTTTCTCTCCAACCCTAAATGGTTGTTATGGTATCAGAGCCTCTCCAACCCTAGCCGCCGCCTCAACCAACAATGGCTACATCTCAACCTGTAGCCGACAATGCTTCCAATGAAGCACAAACTTCTTCCCAAAATCTCGACCCAATGTCAGATCCATTCTACCTTCACAGTTCAGAACAGCCTGGAATCCAGCTTGTTGCCGAGAAGCTCAACCCTATCAACTACATTGACTGGAGTAAAGCATTCCACAATGCCCTTGGCGCCAAGAACAAACTTGGGTTTGTGGATGGCTCTATTCCAGACCCAGGCCAAGGTCATGCTAATGCCTGGGCTTGTACAAGAAACAACATCATGGTTCTATCCTGAATTCAGCAGGTAGTAGACCCTAGAATCAGGAAAACCATCATGTCTTGCAAGACAGCCATGGAAGCTTGGAGGAGCCTGCGTGACAGGTATGGCCAAGGTGACATGGTCAGAATTGCTGAGCTAATCGAGTCTATCTGCACACTGAAGCAAGGTAACTCCTCTGTCACAGAGTATTATGGCAACCTTATAGCCTTAAGAGACGAGTTAGACAACTATGAGCCACTAGAACCCTGTGTTTGCACTACCACCAGTCACAATACCTGTAGAGCTATGCAGCTGGTTCTAGGTTATAGGGACACCAACTATGTCATTCAGTTCCTCCGTGGCCTCAACGACAATTTTACCACTGTGAGGTCTCAAGTATTATTTGGAGATGCTCTGCCCTCCATTGATCGAGTGTTCCAACGAATGCTCCAACATGAAAGACAGATATCTGGTTCACAACCAGCAAAATCACTCACCTCAGAAGGCATGGCTTTTGCTGCTCAAACTAACCCCAATTACCAAGGCAAAAGGCCACGACCTTACTGCACATTCTGCAAGTTCACAGGACACACTGAAGATACCTGTTACCACAAACATGGGTGGCCTCCTGGTATGGTCAATCCCAAGAACCCAAACCCCACTTCCAGAACTGTTGAATGCACACACTACAAAAGACAAGGCCACACTGAGGATAAGTGTTTCCAAAAGCATGGTTATCCACCCAAAACCACCACTCGAGGCAAAACAAGTGTGAATCTCACTACCACTGCTGCTGACAATGATGAAGTTAAGCTTACCAAAGCTGAGTATGAAAAATTTCTCAGCATCATGAAGTCACAAGAATCAGGGAAGTCATCTCACAGCTCTGCTTCCTCTTTCTCTGCTGCAACCTGGGTCGACCATGCCCCTGGCACTACAGGTAAATTCACCCTTACTGCTCACCATGACCCCTCTTCACACCACACTTGGATCCTTGATACAGGAGCTTCAGACCACATTGTCTGCTCCTTAGACTATCTGGTTCAGTCCATGAAAGTTCCAAACATCCCTATCACTCTCCCTAATGGTGCCCAAGTTGAAGCTACTCATGTTGGCACAGTCACATGTGTAGCAAATCTCCTCCTTGAAAATGTGCTCTTTGTCCCACAGTTTCATTTCAACCTAATATCTGTGAGCAGGTTGACCACCAACCCTTCTCTCCACTTAACCTTCTTTTCTTATGTGTGTCTCATACGGGATTTGCAGTTGAGGAGGATGATTGGTTCTGCTAAGCTCACCAATGGCCTTTATTTTTTTTATAGCAACCTCATCTCTAGGACTCCCAAACATGTTGCAGCAGCTAATGCTCCAACTTTTGATCTGTGGCACTATAGATTAGGCCATGTTTCTCATTCCAAAATCCCTCTTTTGAGGAAGCTATGTCAATCCATAGAAACTGATTCCTCTTCCCCTTGTAATACATGTCATTTTGCTCGACAGAAGAAACTCCCTTTTCCTTGTAGCAACACTGTTTGCAAACAAGCATTTGAACTTATACATGTTGATTTATGGGGTCCATTTACTGTTCCTAGCCATGATGGTTTTCGATATTTTCTAACCATTGTGGATGACTTCACTAGAATGACTTGGATCATCTTATTGCAAGCCAAATCTGAAACCAGAACCAAACTCCAACACTTCTGTCAGCATGCCCTCAAACAGTTTCAATTACCAGTCAAAAGGATCCATAGTGATCAAGGAAAGGAATTTCAAATGCATGATTTTTTCAATACTACTGGCATCCTGCATGAACAATCTTGTGTTGAGACTCCACAGCAGAACAGCAAGGTGGAAAGGAAACACCAACACATCCTTGCTGTTGCTCGTGCTCTCAAGTTCCAAGCAAATCTCCCTACTGGTTTTTGGTCAGACTGTGTTAGACATGCAGTTCATCTAATCAACCGTGTCCCCACTCCTGTTCTAGACAATCACACACCTTATGAAAAGCTATTTCACAAACCTCCTGACTTCAATGAACTAAGAGTCTTTCGATGTTTGTGATATGTATCCACCTTGTCCAGTTATAGAACTAAATTTGATCCTAGATCACGAAAATGTGTGTTTCTAGGATTCACTACTGGCATTAAAGGCTATAAACTCTATGACTTAGCCAGCCATGAGGTCGTTACATCTCGAGATGTCTAGTTTTATGAGGACCATTTTCCATTCAAACAAGTTCACACTACTGATCCATCTGATCCAGCTTCCAGTCCCTATTTATCCACCCCACCTCATCTTCACCCTCTGATCCAGAACCCACCATCAATGATCTGCACTTTGAGTCAGACACACCTCCTTCCAGTCCCAGAATCTCTTCTACTCCACCACCTCCCGCACCTTCCCCACCACCACCTCCTGTCCAACCCACCAGAAAATCCACCAGACACATCCAACCCCCAAAACATCTCCAATCCTACCATTGTAACATTCTTCAGCAGATTTCTTCTACCAATCATTCTCCACAGCAGCAAACTCCAGGTATGACATGCCCTCTTTCTTCTGTCCTTGATTATTCTAATCTCTCACCATCTCACAAACACTTTGCTCTAAGCATTTCCACCCTCAAAGAGCCAAAAACATACCAGGAAGCCTTCCTATCTGATGAGTGGAATGCTGCCATGAAGTCTGAAACACAAGCACTGGAAGCAAACTACACATGGGACATTGTTGAACGTCCTGCAAACACTAGAATCATAGGCAACAAGTGGGTATACAAATTCAAGTTCAAATCAGATGGAAGTCTTGAAAGAAGAAAAGCCAGACTAGTTGCCAAAGGATTTACTCAACAAGAGGGAGTTGACTACCAAGAT